CACACACACACACACACACACACACACAGCACAGCACATAATACACGCAGGCAAATAGATGTGCTAAAACTCATCGTCTCCACAATGGCCAGAGACGACACGCACCGAGGTGCACACGCGCGAAGCACATACGCATCGGCACACGCGACCGATTCTGGCGAGATGGAGGCGGCCGGAGAGTTTGAGTGGATTGGCCGGTCGTCGTACGGCGAACGCGGCCAGCGTAGAGCAGCCGGAATTTCCGGCCGACAGCCGATCGATCCGACCGGTCGGGCCGTCGAACAGTCGGGCAGTCGGGCAGTCGGGCGGCGAGCACGCCGCGAAGCGAGTCGTTCGATCGCTTGTTCAAACCACTCGACCGCTGAGCCGCACTTAAGCGCTGGCTTCAGGAGACGCCAGCTCCGCCTCGCCTCGCCTCGCCTCGCCTCGTCAGAGCTCTGCGCATTTGGGGCCGGCAGGCCTGGCCGAGGCTAGGCCCTAAACAGGCAGACGCGCAGCAGCCCGTCGGCTGGCCGTCGCGGCAACAAACGACCCATCAAAGAGGAATGGGCTGGGGCCTCATATTCTTGGCGCAAACTAATTACGAGAGGCCACACAACACAACACTTGGGCCAGCGATAAGCAAGAGCTGCCCCAGACCCTGAATCAAAAAGGCCGCAAACAAACAAACAAATAAATAAACAAATAAATAAATTTAAATTTAAATTTAACCACAATACACCGTATCAAGAGAGAATGGCCAAGCGTCCACTCAAAGTTGTATGATCTGTGCTGTACAGGAAAGCGACAAATCAGGCCGCCTCGTCCCGAGCAACGGTCGCCACAGCGACGCGTAGGCAGAGCGCTCAGTGCGCGTCTGGGACGGATCAAAGCGGCGCCACCCTCCGGGCTGCGGTCGCTTGGTTGCTTTCACTCTCGCACAAGCCGCAAGCGGCTCTTGCCAACTTGGTCGCGTCGTCATGGCGGCCTGAATGAGGCCGGATTGTCCACGGCCTCGTGCCATTTCCGTCGTGACGAGCTGCGCCCTCGGACGAGTCATTTTCGATAGGACCGCCCGTTTCACGCAGCGGTTGGCGCTCGTCGGTGCGCCGTAGTGCAGCTTCTGTCAGTCTCTTGGCGCTTTGCACGAAATAGACGCCAAGAAAAGTTGCGTTTCGAGGAGTCTGTTGTTTCATAATTGTTGAGCTTACTTCCATTTCGAGTGAAAGTGTTGCGTGAAGAGATGCGAAGGTTGGTTTTCTTGACTCGTTAGCTTCAATTTGGTTGTGACGATGAGACCTTGCTTTGATGATGTTCGTCATATGACGGAATCGAAGGAAGAAATGGTGGGTTTCGAGGAATCGATTGGTTCATAATTGTTAAGCTTACTTCCATTTCGAGTGGAAGTGTTGTGTGAAGAGATTC